CCTGTTGTGTGCTAGTGGACACAGTGTCTGGAGTGTCTAGTGACGAAGTACCTGTTGTGTGTAGTGCTAGTGCTAGTGGACGAACTTGAGTTACCTGTTGTGTGCTAGTGGACGAAGTGTCTTGAGTTACCTGTTGTGTGCTAGTGGACGAAGTGTCTGGAGTTACCTGTTGTGTGCTAGTGGACGCAGTGTCTCGAGTTGGTCCTTTTGGGTTACGTCCGAGTAGCGGCTCCTTGAGTCAACTTGTGTAAAACTCTGCGGTGCCAGTCCCAGAGAGGAATAGATGGGGGGGGGGGAGGGGGGAGGGGGGGGGGGGGGGGGGCTCAAAATCCCACAAGATTTCCAATATATTAAGTTGGACGGAGTATGTCATGCTGTTATCTTCGTGACCTTTCCCTCAAAACCTCCCTCTGAATGTTCGGGCAGGGCAGATTCCCCCCCCCCCTCCCTGAAAGGACCAGTGGTAGATGTCCTCTCCTACTTGCCTAAGCACTGCAGTAACATCATCCCGGCTATCTCTTGCCAAGGAAAGCCAGGGCTAACTTCCATCTTCAGAAATCCCCAATCAAAATATCTCTGTTCCCCTTGACTGCCAGATAAGGGGAGATAATATGAATGATTGATAACTGTAATCTGACGGCAGATTGTGTATGACTGTAGATGGCTTGCTTCACCTGTTGCCTCCCTCTAATGGCAGCCATGTTGATATCATGGTGCTGGCTTGAGAAATGTGTCTACACTTGAGTAGCGGTTGGATGTGTATTTATGCCTTCCACTCAGCGCCGTGCCGTGTTGTGAAACAGAGACGTGGTCGCATCGGGCGGCAGAGTAAAAAAAAGTGAAAGGAGTGTGAGCAGCGGGGACCCCCCCCCCCCCCCCCCACACACACACACAAACACACAATTTGAAATTGTGATCTGACAAGGCGAAGCTGTTAGGTCGGCGTGTCGAAGACTTATCCATGACCGCCCACATATGGGACATTTATTTATTCTGAAGCCCCACCGCGGTAGTTGCCTGGGGGCCTCAATATAACCTGACGGTTAAACGGGTTTCCGCGACCTCTCCATAGGTGATCTTCATGCGAATGATGGAACTTTGTGTCACCGGTTATTTATCGCTCAGTGCGATGTCCTGTTGGGGTCAAAAGTCAGTCAGGCAGGACTTGTATCAGATTGAGAAATTCTACAGCACATGACTGTCTCCACCCGACCACAAGGCTTGCTAGTCGGCAAGGCGGTTAGGCCAAATTTGAGGCCCGGTTATATTTGAGGTCCCTCGGTAAAAGCCGAAGTTGAGCTTTAAAATAACTAAAAATGGCATCACACAAGGGGATGAGGATTTATGTTCGTCTGACTGACTGACAGACTGACTGAATGACTGACTTTCTACCTTACCAGGACATCACACAAGTGGATGAGGATTTATGTTCGTCTGACTGACTGACTGACTGACTGACTTTTCTACCCCACCAGGACATCACACAAGCGATAAACACCCGATGACACAATTTGCCACCGTGTGGAGGAGGACCACACTGGAGAGGTCCCAGAAACCGCGTTCAGCCAGTTGGCCTGGCTATATTGCGGCCCCTGGCAAGAGCCAGGGTGGGGCTTTAAAAAATGAAAAATTTCATCCTAAAAAGGACAGGAAATAATGAAAAGGTAATGTTTGTGTAAACATTACCCCTTTATAGATAGCGCTCGTGCAAATTCAGTCTGACAAAGATCCCACCTGGACAGTTCTTCTCCTGCGCCTGTAGCAGCTAACTGTTCAGTGACGGTTTGAGAACGTCCCACTGTCGAGGTTCCCGGGACTGGAGCCGAACTCGAACATAAACAAACTGGAGACTGGAGCTGCTGAAGGCAATACTGTGCCAAGACTATTCCTTGTTTACATAACGGCTGCCAATGATCATTGAAAGGTTGCTGCACTTTGTGCACGCGAGCTCTGACTGAAAAATGGGAGAAGGGCCTAAAAAAGGTGGCGGGTGGGAAGGGCGGGGGCGTGTAGTTTGAAGATGCAGATAACCTGTAAACCGTTTTATCCGAGTTTTGGGAGGAGCTATCTTGCATACAATCGTAGGTGCCCGTTTTATCTGTCTGTTGTAAGGAAGATTTCATTAAATTATGTTCGTGAAGTGTGTTTTGTCTTGCCGCAGTAGACAGAATCAGGCTACGCTCTGTTGCAGATGTGTGTCACTAAGTGCTGTACACAAAATCAAGTCACGCTCTGTTGCAGATGTGTGTCACTCACTGCTGTAGACAGAATCAGGTCACGCTCTGTGCAGATGTGTGTCACTCAGTGCTGTACACAGAATCAAGTCACGCTATGTGACAGATGTGTGTCACTCACTGCTGTAGACAGAATCAGGTCACGCTCTGCTGCAGATGTGTGTCACTCACTGCTGTAGACAGAATCAGGTCACGCTCTGGTGCAGATGTGTGTCACTCACTGCTGTAGACAGAATCAGGTCACGCTCTGTTGCAGATGTGTGTCACTCACTGCTGTAGACAGATTCAGGCGACGCTATGTGACAGATGTTTGTCACTCAGTGTTGCCACTTTTCTTTGACAAAAAACATCCAAAACGAAGTCGAAAATTTTATAAAAACGTCTAAATTTGCGTGGTAGAACATCTAGAAAAGCATCCAAATTGAAAGAGGCACAAATTACATAGCAATTGATATGACTTACCCTATAGAATCATGTCCTCATCTTTACTGAAGTCTGCCTTACAGGATCCACAGGATAAACTTAGTCTGGGTAATGAAGTTGAAGCTTCAGATCCAAAATGACTCTGGTATGCTTTAGCTGTTCCAGTTTCTTTAAATACTTAACCATGGAGCTAAGTAGAACAGCTTTTTCCTACTCTTATCAGGCCGAATTTTATTGTTAAGATAGCATTTAAGAGGTCAAATTTCATCCTGTTTGTTGGGTTAGATTTGATAAGTTCACTCCAAATTAATACATCTAGAAAAACATCTACCATCTAAACGTCAAATACGCCATCTAAATGCAAGGGAAAACATCTAAATCTGCGACAGTTTGTCCACTCGTCCCACAAGAATCTACCTCAGCGACAGTTTGTCCCCTCGTCTAACAAGATTTAACCTCAGTGACAGTTTGTCCACTCGTCTCACAAGTCTCTACCTCTTTACCTCAGCGACAGTTTGTCCACTCGTCCCACAAGTCTCTACCTCAGCGACAGTTTGTCCACTCGTCCCACAAGAATCTACCTCAGCGACAGTTTGTCCACTCATCCCACAAGAATCTACCTCAGCGACAGTTTGTCCCCTCGTCTAACAAGATTTAACCTCAGTGACAGTTTGTCCACTCGTCCCACAAGTTTCTACCTCTTTACCTCAGCGCAATTTGTCCACTCGTCTCACAAGTCTCGACCCTTTACCTCAGCGACAGTTTGTCCACTTGTCCCACAAGAATCTACCTCAGCGACAGTTTGTCCACTCGTCCCACAAGTCTCAACCTCAGCGACAGTTTGTCCACTCGTCCCACAAGAATCTACCTCAGCGACAGTTTGTCCACTCGTCCCACAAGAATCTACCTCAGCGACAGTTTGTCCACTCGTCCCACAAGAATCTACCTCAGCGATAGTTTGTCTCACTCATCTCACAAGATTTGACCTCAGCGACAGTTTTTCCACTCGTCCCACAAGACTCTACCTCACCTCATCTAAAGTGCCTCTTCTGAGAGCTTTTTAGAGGATAATATAATAAAATTTATGACTTCATAAAGACATTACTTGTTATTCGTTATAATTTTAAAAAAAAAATTAAACAGAACTATATTAACACACAGACACACATACGCACACACATACGCACACACACACACACACACATACACACATACACACATACACACACACATATGTACATAGAAAATAGTTTTCTGAGATGAGCTGGTGTGTTAAAACAGTTGAAGCCTCAGCGCTTTGTAATGTTTAAGGCCTCATAAAGCCGAAATCCCCTCTAGCAATAGTATTTTGTTTCTCGGGCTGAGTGATCTCGATGTATGTCATCTGTCTAGAGTACTGGTGGTTCGGGGTTCAAACCCCGGTAAAGGCTGGTATTTTGTTACGTGGTGTTCTAGTAATTTCCCCCTGGTCTCTGGGTAGTGAGATCGGACGCCCGTGTGTAGTGTTGCCGTGAAAAAAAAAATCACCTGGCGGTTGGAAATCGAAAAAAAAAAAAAGAGTAGCCTAACCGTGCTGCCCGGCAAAATTTGGAGTTAAAAACCTAAATAAAGTATTTCAGCATCCTTGCCGGTGCTACAGAGTTCGTGCACTGCGCTGGGATTTTTCTGACTAAGACTTGAATTAGAAGTAGAACAGGCCATTTATGGGTTACACCCGTGTGCCACAATGTTGATCCATTGAATAAACATAAACAGTATCATATATTGTGGTACTATTAGCAATAGTAGTTAGTAATAGTATCAGCAGCAGCAGCATTAATTGTAGTATTACTTACAGATCTGACCTGTTAAACCGGTCGAGTGTCTGAAATTTCTGATCTGAACTGTATGCTGGATTGTTGTATGGAGTCTGAGATCTGAACTGTATGCTGGATTGTTGTATGAAGTCTGAGATCTGAACTCTATGCTGGATTGTTGTGTGAAGTCTGAGATCTGAACTCTATGCTGGATTGTTGTGTGAAGTCTGAGATCTGAACTCTATGCTGGATTGTTGTGTGAAGTCTGAGATCTGAACTCTATGCTGGATTGTTGTGTGAAGTCTGAGATCTGAACTCTATGCTGGATTGTTGTGTGAAGTCTGAGATCTGAACTCTATGCTGGATTGTTGTGTGAAGTCTGAGATCTGAACTCTATGCTGGATTGTTGTGTGAAGTCTGAGATCTGAACTCTATGCTGGATTGTTGTGTGGAGTCTGAGATCTGACCGGTATGCTGTATTGTTGTCTGAAATCTTATGTTTATGCTGGTCTATTGTGTAATCTTTGATGTGTGCCCTTGATTTCAGCACTGACGGTCAAGTACATCACCAGGCGCTTCATCATGGAGTATGACCCAGATTTAGGTAGGTGGACTTGTTCCTTTGGTTAGTTAGATGTTTTAACTTTCTTCTACAAGTTGAATAAGGAGGCAGAAGACAAAAGCGAAGGAGGGAAAATTGGGAGTGGGTGGGGGGGGGGGGAATAAATAGATGGCAAAAAGAATAATAATGAGTAGAAGTGGAACAATACAAAGAAGATGAAGAAGAAAAAGAAGAAGAAGAAAGAATAGAGGATACTGTCTGCTTGTAAACTGCACAAACATGTAATGGACTTGACTGTTTGCCTTTGCTATCCCACATCCTGTATTTAATCATGTATACAGAAACTGAACATCTGTGATATATTATTACGGTGCCGCCGGCTCTTATGAAGTAGCGGAAACATGCTACATAGTTCCAACATCAGTGTCTTGTTCATTACATTGGTTCCCCTTTAGAATCCGCTGTTTGCAGCACACCCATGTGTGTCTTCTTACCTGAGATCGTTTACTGGCTGGATCGTTTCTGAATCGATGTTTCACTATTTTAAATCTCTCGTTTCCACGCGCTTGTTGAGTTTAACTTTTTCCACGCATATGAAGCTTGATTCTGTTGCTCCAAGCCCACATATGTTACTTTGTTTCTGTGATGCGCACATTGTATCATTGTCTCTGATTTCAGCATCTCACATGTATCACTATCACCCTGTGCTCCTCGGACGTGTCCAATCCATACACTCGCAACTCTCCGTTAACACAATCCATACACTCGCAACTCTCCATCAACACAATCCATACACTCGCAACTCTCCATCAACACAATCCATACACTCGCAACTCTCCATCAACACAATCCATACACTCGCAACTCTCCGTTAACACAATCCATACACTCGCAACTCTCCATCAACACAATCCATACACTCGCAACTCTCCATCAACACAATCCATACACTCGCAACTCTCCATCAACACAATCCATACACTCGCAACTCTCCATCAACACAATCCATACACTCGCAACTCTCCATCAACACAATCCATACACTCGCAACTCTCCATCAACACAATCCATACACTCGCAACTCTCCGTTAACACAATCCATACACTCGCAACTCTCCATCAACACAATCCATAAACTCGCAACTCTCCATCAACACAATCCATACACTCGCAACTCTCCATCAACACAATCCATACACTCGCAACTCTCCATCAACACAATCCACACACTTGCAACTTTCCGTTAACACAATCCACACACTGGCAACTCTCCGTCAACACAATCCACACACTGGCAACTCTCCATCAACACAATCCACACACTGGCAACTCTCCATCAACACAATCCACACACTCGCAACTCTCCGTCAACACAATCCATACACTCGCAACTCTCCATCAACACAATCCATACACTTGCAACTCTCCGTCAACACAATCCACACACCGGCAAATCTCCGTCAACACAATTCACACACTCGCAACTCTCCGTCAACACAATCCATACACTCGCAACTCTCCGTCAACACAATCCGCACACACGCAACTCTCCGTCAACACAATCCACACACTCGCAACTCTCCGTCAACACATGTATGCCAAGGAGAAGACATTAAACACGCTGCACACCCACCAGGTCAGAGAAGCAAGTCGTGAAGGAGATAGGGAAGTAGATCTGTCGGGCAGGGAGAGAAAACATCTGGAGACTTGCTGAAGGTCATCGCCTTTCTCAGATCATAGACCGCCCTTGGCCGTTTTCAGCTGGCCACTCTGTTCCACTTCACTTCCTTACCCTGTTGCCAGTTTAATTATTTTTTTTTTTTTTTTTTTTTGTTTATTCAATTTCAGTTTATCTTAGCTGTAAATAATACAAATAGGAAATGTCAGTTATTGATGGCAAATTGTATGTTAGACCTGTGACATCACAGACATCGTGCAATGATAATAACAAGTGTTATTCCTTGATCACTGTGGGACGCAGTTCCTTCCCACGACGCTTAACGGTAAAACTAGAAGTTGCTGACTGAAAGACCAAACAGTGAAAAGCGATGATAGGGTTTAACCCAAGGGACCAAACAGGAAGAAACAGCAGAAAAAGGATGAGGAGGCGCAGGCGCAGGCGTAAGAGACGGCCAGTGAGTGGCAGGCGGCAGGCAACACAATATTGGTGAGTCCTGGAGAGGACAAGGCGTCGTCAACTAAAACCCAAAGCAGCCACAACCCACAGCAGCAGAAACCTTACAGACAGAAACCTTACAGAAACCTTACAGGAACCTTACAGACAGAAACCTCACAGGTAGAAACCTCACAGACAGAAACGTCACTAGCAGAAACCTTGCAGGCAAAAACCTTACAGACAGAAACCTTGCAGGCAGAAACCTTACAGGCAGAAATCTTACAGGTAGAAACCTTACAGAGAGAAACCTTACAGACAGAAACCTTACAGACAGAAACATTACAGGCAGAAACCTTGCAGGTAGAAACCTTACAGACAGAAAACATGCAGCCAAAAACCTTACAGACAGAAAACTCACAGGTAGAAACCTTACAAGCAGAAACCTTACAGACATAAACCTTACAGGTAGAAACCTTACAAAGAGAAGCCTTACAGGCAGAAACCTTTCAGGCAGAAACGTTACAGACAGAAACCTTACAGGCAGAAACCTTACAGGCAGAAACCTTAAGGCAGAAACATTACAGGCAGAAACCTTGCAGGTAGAAACCTTACAGACAGAAACCTTACAGGCAGAAACCTTACAGGCAGAAACCTTACAGGCAGAAACCTTACAGACAGAAACCTTACAGGCAGAAACCTTACAGGCAGAAACCTTACAGACAGAAACCTTACAGACACAAACCTTTTAGACAGAAACCTTACAGGCAGAAACCTTACAGGCAGAAACCTTACAGACAGACACCTTACAGGCAGAAACCTTATAGACATAAACCTTTTAGACAGAAACCTTACAGGCAGAAACCTTACAGGCAGAAATCTTACAGACAGAAACCTTACAGACAGAAACCTTACAGGCAGAAACCTTACAGGCAGAAACCTTACAGACAGACACCTTACAGGCAGAAACCTTACAGACAGAAACCTTACAGACAGAAACCTTACAGGCAGATATCTTACAGGCAGAAACCTTACAGGCAGAAACCTGAACGACAGAAACCTTACAGACAGAAACCTTACAGGTAGAAACCTTACAGACAGACACCTTACAGGCAGAAACCTTATAGACATAAACCTTTTAGACAGAAACCTTACAGGCAGAAACCTTACAGGCATAAACCTTTTAGACAGAAACCTTACAGGCAGACACCTTACAGGCAGAAACCTTACAGGCAGAAACCTTACAGGCAGAAACCTTACAGACAGACACCTTACAGGCAGAAACCTTACAGACAGAAACCTTACAGACAGAAACCTTACAGGCAGATATCTTACAGGCAGAAACCTTACAGGCAGAAACCTGAACGACAGAAACCTTACAGACAGAAACCTTACATGTAGAAACCTTACAGACAGAAACCTTACAGGCAGAAACCTTACAGACAGAAATCTTACAGACAGAAACCTTACAGGTAGAAACCTTACAGGCAGAAACCTTACAGACAGAAATCTTACAGACAGAAACCCTACAGACAGAAACCTTACAGACAGAAACCTTACAGACAGAAACCTTACAGGCAGAAACCTTATAGACATAAACCCTACAGACAGAAACCTTACAGACAGAAATCTTACAGACAGAAACCCTACAGACAGAAACCTTACAGGCAGAAACCTTACAGACAGAAACCTTACAGACAGAAACATTACAGGCAGAAACCTTGCAGGTAGAAACCTTACAGACAGAAAACATGCAGCCAAAAACCTTACAGACAGAAAACTCACAGGTAGAAACCTTACAAGCAGAAACCTTACAGACATAAACCTTACAGGTAGAAACCTTACAGACAGAAACATTACAGGCAGAAACCTTGCAGGTAGAAACCTTACAGACAGAAACCTTACAGACAGAAACCTTACAGGCAGAAACCTTACAGGTAGAAACCTTACAGGCAGAAACCCTACAGACAGAAACCTTACAGACAGAAACCTTACAGACAGAAACCTTACAGACAGAAACCTACAGACAGAAACCTTACAGACAGAAACCTTACAGACAGAAACCTTACAGACAGAAACCTTACAGACAGAAACCTTACAGACAGAAACCTTACAGACAGAAACCTTACAGACAGAAACCTTACAGACAGAAACCTTACAGGCAGAAACCTTACAGGCAGAAACCTTACAGGCAGAAACCTTACAGACAGAAACCTTACAGACAGAAACCTTACAGACAGAAACCTTACAGACAGAAACCTTACAGACAGAAACCTTACAGACAGAAACCTTACAGGCAGAAACCTTACAGGCAGAAACCTTACAGGCAGAAACCTTACAGGCAGAAACCTTACAGGCAGAAACCTTACAGGCAGAAACCTTACAGGCAGAAACCTTACAGGCAGAAACCTTACAGACAGAAACCTTACAGGTAGAAACCTTACAGGCAGAAACCTACAGAGACATGGCTGGCAAGTAAAGAAATGCGAGGCAGGACTACCTTCCAAACAGACGAAACTCAGTCAGAATGATCTCACAGACCCACAGAGCACAAACCACAGGCCACAGAGCACAGACCACATGCCACAGAGTACAGTACACAGACAGCAGACAACAGAGCACAGACCACATGCCACAGAGTACAGTACACAGACAGCAGACAACAGAGCACAGACCACATGCCACAGAGTACAGTACACAGACAGCAGACAACAGAGCACAGACCACATGCCACAGAGTACAGTACACAGACAGCAGACAACAGAGGACAGACCACATGCCACAGAGTTGAACGTGGACTTCTTTAACCAACGAGCGAACAAACCATTATTGCCGGCAAGTTTGTGGTTTTTCTGGCAGGGTTTCGGATATTTATAAATGTTGACGTGAGTTGCCATACAGAGACAGTCTTCTGTGGTTATAGACAATGTCACCGGAAGTCAAGATGACCCTCCTGACGATGACCCCCTGACCCTCTATTGCGGAATGGTCCGTACAAATATTTATAAAACTTATGTCCAAGACTTCAGTGGGCGTCACAGAGGTCTTATTTACTGTTCATTAAAAAGGAAACGGATACTTGTCCAATGTTACCGATTGCAAGTTTTTATTAATTTGTAAATAAAATATTGTACTCAGGTATGTGAAAAGCAGACTCAAATGTTTTTTTTTTTTTTTTTGTAATTGTTACAACGCAGTGGTCAATTATGTTTGAGACCATACTTGTGAGCATAGCTCATGATACGCGCACGAGAAAGCATCACAGTTTTTTTTTGGGGGGGGGGGGGGGGGGGGGGGGCACTATTCCCTGCCTATGCAATTCAGACCTTAAAAAGGGATAAAGCTACACCAAAACATTCAGTTTATTTTCAAGTAGTCACGAATGGCGCCTCCATCGATTAATTTAGGGAGCATTGCTATTGGCCGATTGCAGGCAGGAGAAAGCGAAAGTCTGGTTGCCAGGCATTTAAACGGGCATCAGAGTACCATAAGTCGACTTTGGCACCGCTTCCAAGCCACTGGTTTAGTTGAAGACCCACATCGCAGTGGACTACCCAGAGTGACAACAGCAGCGGAGAATCGCTTTATTCGGCTTCGTAACCTCAGAGACAGATTTACAACAGCTTCCTCAACTGCACAGGTATTACCTCCAGGACGTCATGTGTCGGGTCAAACTGTTTAGAACAGACTGCATGACGTTAGACTTTGGGCTCGACTACCACACAGAGGATCTGTTGTTACGCGTCGCCACCACAAAAATCGACTTTTTTGGGCCAACCAAAATCGTCCCTGGGCAAGTGCCAATCCATGGAGACGTGTCTGGTTCAGTGAGGAATCTTGCTTTTTTTTTTCTGCACTGTCATGATAGATGGCGTAGGGTCTATCATAGGTGATTAGAAGGTTTAGCCTAAAATTGTGTTGATTAAGCTTTGCTGCACGGTGGTGGAGGTGTAATGGTGTGGGTAAGGATTAGTTACTGTCGTGAGATGAGCAGCCACCATACACAGTGGACGAGTCGGGACTTGATATCCCTCAGAAAAATTTCAAACTTAGACCCGTACGAAAAGGTAAATAGTCCCTTATATTGATCTATACCTTTATCTGGCAAAATAGTAATTTCTCGACCGTCTATTTGCTTTGTTATATCTTCATTTTCAAACTTGCAACTGTAGATTGGCGAATTATGGTATTTTATTGAGGAATTCCTGTCAACCGGTTTACTGCTTGTTCATGAATACAAGGAACTTCTTTCCTGGTGACGCTGGTTTGAATTTGAAAAAGGCATTCTTTCGCCTGATCCCAAAGTGACAATATGTGTATCCAATCTTTTTAGAATTTGGCGCATTCATAGTTCCAGTTCTAACTTGGAAGATTTCCTAAGCTTGGGTAAGTTGATTATAGTTTACGAGTACCATAATTAATGTCTTTTTAAAGTTGACAACTGCTGAAGAGAGGTCAGAGTCAGTTGTTTGATCGCACTGAGTTCGAACGTTCTTGATGTCCAGAGATCAAGATCCGAACCTCAGACCTTCCCCTGTACAGACTAATTAGTTGGTGTTCTACATAACCCACACCATTTGTAAAGATATTAAACCCTACAAGTACTTATTCTCTGACCAGTCAAATGAAGTTTTGTGTCGCATAACTGGAACAGAAAATTTAGGTCATCGTTAACCGGCAGTCAGGGCTAGGCTCTGAGTCAAAGGTGTGTTTGTGACAGATTCAGTAGGTGTGTAGCGAATGGCATGTGGAGACGGGATATGTATATAGGTACTAACTGTAAACATAGTATGTCTGCGAGTGCAGATGTGAGGGTGGAGAGAGGATGATCTATGTGTGATAGTGTCTATCTGTCTCCACTATATATATCTGGTTTTCTATCTGTTGCACTAGTTTACAGACAGATAAATGAAGGGAGACATTGTCTCCGGGTCTTGAGAGTACACTCTGAGGAATAGAGAAGGGGAGCAGAGGTGGGGTGAGCTGATGTGTGATTAAAACTGATTAGTATCTGATGGATACTAATTCTGAGTTCTTTCCTGACAGGATGATACCTCCTTGGTGATTACTAATTATGAGTTCTTTCCTGACAGGATGAGACCTCTGTAGAGATCAGGCAGACGAATCACAGTCCAGCCAACAACCACCAACCCATACCATTCTATGCACCAAGCATAACCTAAAGTCCTGCCCTTTGTGCCACTACCTCAACATGGTAAGAGCGTGTTTGTGAGCTCCAAGACGAGTGGACATTTGCAGACATTTGTGTCCTCAACCTAGTGAACCAGTCTTCAAGAGCTTGGTTGAGCTCTGATGCAGTATTTTGACCTGACCTGTGAGAGAGACTTGTTGAGTCCCTGTGCAGTTCCTGTGTCCTCGATGTTGAGGTAATCAACGGGTACCAAATCAACTAGAGACATAGAGACCTGAGTCAACTACAGTCGAATCACCATGGACTGAGGGGAGCATCGACCTACGAACTGGGATAAGTAATCTATGAATTACCATCATGCTCTCTTCCCACAGCTCCTCGTGATTCCGTGATGAACTCATGTACATCTCAAGGCAATCTGGCTGCTTCAAGATCTGGGTCGAGTCATTGTGTCCTAAGCTCCATCCACTGAGATCTGGGTTGCCTATTCACTAGTTTATGTATACATAGTACTGATTACATGCATACATTTTCATGGCTGATTTGGGTGTCCCTGTTTCACCATTCTAACTGTCTAGCTTTGATGTTTGTGTGAGTAATAAGTGTTATCTGTGTTAACATGGTTATGATAATAAACTATCATAACCTGGGGACTATCTTTTTAAAGTAGTGGGGGTGTCCAGCCAAGTGTGTCCTAGGAATATTATATATTTTGTAGTGCCAAGACTTGAGTTGCACTACTCCTGAAATAAGTTGAGCGTATATTGGCCACGGGGCATCCCTTAGACCAATACGAGCCAACGACTCAACATAATTATTTCAGAGGGCTGTTGGTTCTTAAGGAGAAATCCTTAAATCAGGATCGCGACAGGAGTGATATGTGACAGTTACAACGGACAGAGACAACTGGTGCACACTGAAGGAAGCTTGAGTACGCAACGATACGTCCATGAAATTCTTCGACCACATGTCCTTCTTTTTGGGATGCCTACAGATATCTTTTTTAACAGGACAACGCCAGACCCCACTCTGTACCCTTGACCACGCAGTTCCTGGCTGCCAATAACATTCAAACCCTTCCCTGGCCATCTCTGTCTGCAGACATGAGTCTATTGAGAACCTGTATGATGAGCTGCAAAGTCGTGTTTGTTGCCAAAACGTTAGTTAGTCCGTTAGTTATTAGTTAGTTAGTTAGTTAGTTAAGTTAGTTAGTTAGTTAGTTAGTGTCATTGCACTCCGGACATGAGGTGCTCAGATCCTCCCCTCAGTATGAACCCCAACGTCCTATGAATAGTACCAGTTCTATGTTGTTTAACAAGTCTTCGCCGTGTCAGGTGTGCGTCTCGTTTTTTGCTGTGCCGATCTTATTCCTAAGTCTGCCATTCGTGATGTGGATTCACTGCCACCAAAGTCCTCTATCCTTCCCATTTTGCCAAAACGTTGCTCCAGCCAATGGTCGTGATCTGTTCCAGGCACTCCAGGAAGAGTGGTCAGCCATCCCACAGACCCACACCAGACATCTGATCGCATCCATGCCCAGGAGATGCCAAGTCACTGATCTACACCATACTAATGGATAGACCGTACGTCTAAGAATTATCGTGACCCAGATGCAAACAAACGTGTCAATGGTTTGGCGGAAACCCAAAATATTCTTGCGTGAAATTTGCGTGATTTCACTTATTGAATATACAAAGATGCAAAACGTCAAAATTGTGAGAACTCTGATGTTCTTTTCATTTTTTAAATCATATATTTAATTTATGTCATCGTAACTTTATGTATGTCTTCTTGTGTGCACGTGCCATATTGTTACTCTGGTCTTGAATCTGATACTTCTGTCCCCGTCACTTTATGTCTGCCTTCTTGTATGAGCGTGCTATGTTCTCACCCTGGTTTTTGATTTGTGGTTCTGTCCCCGTCACTTCATGTCTACCTTCTTGTATGAGCGTGCCATGTTGTTACTCTAGCCTTGAATCTGAAACTTCTGTCCCCGTCACTTCATGTCTGCCTTCTTGTGAGCACGTGCCATGTTCTCACCCTGGTCTTGCATCTGTGGTCCTCAGAGGGCACCTACACCAAACACGAGGATTGGGACGGCCAGGACTTTGTGGTACATCTAATGGATACCTGTGATAAGGTGAGTCTGTGTGTTGTCGTACATCTGATGGATACCTGTGACAAGGTGAGTCTGTGTGTTGTCGTACATCTGATGGATACCTGTGACAAGGTGAGTCTGTGTGTTGTCGTACATCTGATGGATACCTGTGACAAGGTGAGTCTGTGTGTTGTCGTACATCTGATGGATACCTGTGACAAGGTGAGTCTGTGTTGTGTTGTCGTACATCTGATGGATACCTGTGACAAGGTGAGTCTGTGTGTTGTCGTACATCTGATGGATACCTGTGACAAGGTGAGTCTGTGTGTTGTCGTACATCTGTGGATACCTGTGACATGAGTCTGATGATGGATACCTGTGACAAGGTGAGTCTGTGTGTTGTCGTACATCTGATGGATACCTGTGACAAGGTGAGTCTGTGTGTTGTCGTACATCTGATGGATACTTGTGACAAGGTGAGTCTGTGTGTTGTCGTACATCTGATGGATACCTGTGACAAGGTGAGTCTGTGTGTTGTCGTACATCTGATGGATACCTGTGACAAGGTGAGTCTGTGTGTTGTCGTACATCTGATGGATACCTGTGACAAGGTGAGTCTGTGTGTTGTCGTACATCTGATGGATACCTGTGACAAGGTGAGTCTGTGTGTTGTCGTACATCTGATGGATACCTGTGACAAGGTGAGTCTGTGTGTTGTCGTACATCTGATGGACACCTGTGACAAGGTGAGTCTGTGTGTTGTCGTACATCTGATGGATACCTGTGACAAGGTGAGTCTGTGTGTTGTCGTACATCTGATGGATACTTGTGACAAGGTGAGTCTGTGTGTTGTCGTACATCTGATGGATACTTGTGACTTGTGACAAGGTGAGTCTGTGTGTTGTCGTACATCTGATGGATACTTGTGACAAGGTGAGTCTGTGTGTTGTCGTACATCTGATGGATACCTGTGACAAGGTGAGTCTGTGTGTTGTCGTACATCTGATGGATACCTGTGACAAGGTGAGTCTGTGTGTTGTCGTACATCTGATGGATACATGTGACAAGGTGAGTCTGTGTGTTGTCGTACATCTGTGGATACCTGTGTGACAAGGTGAGTCTGTGTGTTGTCGTACATCTGATGGATACCTGTGACAAGGTGAGTCTGTGTGTTGTCGTACATCTGATGTACCTGTGGACCTGTGTGACCTGTGATGGATACAAGGTGAGTCTGTGTGTTGTCGTACATCTGATGGACACCTGTGTACAAGGTGAGTCCACTGTGTGTTGTCGTACATCTGCTATGGCTTTCACCGGAACTGTGACTAAGGTGAGTCTGTGTGTTGTTGTTTTTTTTTTTACAAATGCTTGGTTCTGTGACAAGCGCTAACATTGGTTTGTCGACTGTGAGACGAAATACCCAAAGAATGACAAAACATACACTAAAATGGGAAATAAGCGGTCTGAGAAAATAAGGATGTTTAAGGGAACATTAGGAATACAATTATTATGAGAGGCTAACAACGCTGGACGGATCTTCATGTCAGACATCGAAATAGTTGCTTGCATTGTAGCAGAGTGGAGGGATTGAATGCGAGCCCAATGTGACGTCTAACGGCACACGAACGCTGATGATGATGATCTATGAAGACATATACATACATTTTTATGTGATAAGTCATTCTACCTTGACCTATAAGCATTTGAGTTATGTTTGAATATGTTGCCTGCACAACGAATCTGACAGTTGTACGTTTTCCCAAGAATAAGTGCAACCTAATTAGGAATGAGATGACACAAGCACCGGGTTTCCTGTCTGTGATGTCTGCTCCCTGGCTCAGACTGCACTTATCCTACCTGCCCAGTATCTGTCACAGAGAGGTGGACAGTCGGTCATCTCTGCTTGTCTGGCCTGTCTGTCAGCTGTCACAGAGAGGTGGACAGTCGGTCATCTCTGCTTGCCTGGCATGTCTGTCAGCTGTCACAGAGAGGTGGACAGTCGGTCATCTCTGCTTGTCTGGCATGTCTGTCAGCTGTCACAGAGAGGTGGACAGTCGGTCATCTCTGCTTGCCTGGCATGTCTGTCAGCTGTCACAGAGAGGTGGACAGTCGGTCATCTCTGCTTGTCTGGCCTGTCTGTCAGCTGTCACAGAGAGGTGGACAGTCGGTCATCTCTGCTTGTCTGGCCTGTCTGTCAGCTGTCACGACGTTATTCAATAAATGTACCGGCCTCCCCCCTTGCTTCTTTTATTTCATTTGGCAAACTGGCTTATTCAGCTGAATGTTTATCGTAACTATTATCACTAATCCTTTGATTCCAAGTATGTAACTCAATTATCGATCTGAGCTGTTTCGGTGAACTGTTTTAGCGTACATCCATCAGAACAGATTCCGCTAGCAAGTGAGCTACTTCATTAGAGCACATGTAAAGCGAGACGCCCCACTCTCAGTGCCAAGAGGTGTCCTCATTAACACAACCGGCAACTCTAGCCAAACACTAAAGTCTGGTTCACGGCAATAGCTTCTGTGTCTGAACTCTGATGTCTTCAAATGGGGGAACCTCATTTCAATTATCTGTGCATTTGCCACATCTACATTTGGCTGAGACCAAGTTCTTATAGCTGAAACTAATGTATATCTAGTCTGTTTGTCGAGTGCCTATGTTTAAACACAGAATTTTTGTTTCTTTTTTCGTAGACCTTGAGAAACTGTCTGATAGTTACACACATACGTTTAAAAAAATATAAATTGGGGATGGGAAGTTGACTGTGTGCGAGCGTGTATGTATGTCAGCATGCATGTCTGTATGATAACTGGCTGCCATCTCTCTGGTTTGAGTGGCTCATGGAATTGTGTGCGAGCATGTATGTATGTCAGCATGCATGTCTGTATGATAATTGGCTGCCATCTCTCTGGTTTGAGTGGCTCATGGAATTGTGTGCGAGCATGTATGTATGTCAGCATGCATGTCTGTATGATAACTGGCTGCCGTCTCTCTGGTTTGAGTGGCTCATGGAATTGTGTGCGAGTGTGTATGTATGTCAGCAGGCATGTCTGTATGATAACTGGCTGCCATCTCTCTGGTTTGAGTGGCTCATGGAATTGTGTGCGAGTGTGTATGTATGTCAGCAGGCATGTCTGTATGATAACTGGCTGCCATCTCTCTGGGTTGAGTGGCTCATGGAATTGTGTGCGAGTGTGTATGTATGTCAGCACGCATGTCTGTATGATAACTGGCTGCCATCTCTCTGGGTTGAGTGGCTCATGGAATTGTGTGCGAGTGTGTATGTATGTCAGCACGCATGTCTGTATGATAACTGGCTGCCATCTCTCTGGTTTGAGTGGCTCATGGAATTGTGTGCGAGTGTGTATGTATGTCAGCACGCATGTCTGTATGATAGCTGGCTGCCATCTGTCTGGTACGAGTTACTTAGAGAATTGTGTGCCCGTGTTTATGTATATCAGCACGTGTCAGATGCCTGTGTGGCTATGAATGGAGTGAGGGTGATGATAGTAACCGACGGATTTGTACTGACTTGACAGCGGAAATGACTTGGCACATAGTGACAATGACAGGAAAGTATTGCGGACCGACTTGGGACTCCATGGATGACGAGAGATTCGCGATTGTAGCTTTGAGCGACCGGGGAGGACAGGAGCGGAAAGTAAACGGTTGGGGGATTAGGGGGAAGGGGAGGAGGAAACGGGAAATGGGAGCTCATGTAGAGACCGGGGACAAGACAAGACGTTGTAATTTTGATCACTAGATATTTAGGTGAATGTTGCGAACTTATCCCCATCTAGGTCAGCTCCGCCCATTTTTACGCTTGGTCACTTTTGATTGGTGCTTGCTTAGGCTAGTAAACTTTGCTCAAGGTTACGGTGGTGACCTAGTGGGCTGTTTTCTCGAAAAGCATTCTTTGTGAGTTGAGATAGTTGGTTCTGTGATAATGTCTTATCTAGAAGGCATTCTAATATAAGTGTTAGTATGAGCAGGCAGTTTAACGCTGTGTTTCAAGTCTCGAAAGTCCAGTGTGATTCTTTATATTTGTTCACCGTGCCTATCAAATGTATCAGTTTCCTATAGAAGTGGTTCATCATGGGGATTTGACTGAAGAATAAGAGAGCGATGTTCTATAGAAGTGGTTCATCATGGGGATTTGACTGAAGAATAAGAGAGCGATGTTCTATAGAAGTGGTTCATCATGGGGATTTGACTGAAGAATAAGAGAGCGATGTCCTAGGTATCGGACCCAGGGAAATCAGTTTCGCGAAGTGCTCTATCCAGGGCACACTATCCAGGGCACACTATCCAGGGCACACTATCCAGGGCACACTACCCATGGCACACTATCCAGGGCACACTATCCAGGGCACACTACCCATGGCACACTATCCAGGGCACACTATTCAAAGCACACTATCCAGGGCACACTATCCAGGGCCGTGCAGAGGCACAGCGGTGGAGCTGTTGCAGTTACAGGGTTAAGGAAAGATCTTGTATATGAGACTGTTGGTTCGGACATATTTGGCAACGTTATGGCCAGTGCGTGCGTGGTAACTGTAGAACACCCCGGCTGGTTCGTGGCGTGGTTAATCAAGCGAACCTTCTCTGAGAGAAACTAGCTTGTTCCTCGCTGTAGTCCCATTAAAGGTCTGTATGTATCCTGTGTTTAGTGGTGGACTTGTTTATGTTAGGACAAGCACATTGGAACACAGCTGCTTGACGGCATGCAAGTCTGTATTCTGTATGATAACTGCATGTCTGTATTCTGTATGATAACTGTATGTCTGTATTCTGTATGATAACTGCATGTCTGTATTCTGTACGATAACTGTATGTCTGTATTCTGTATGATAACTGCATGTCTGTATTCTGTATGATAACTGTATGTCTGTATTCTGTATGATAACTGCATGTCTGTATTCTGTATGATAACTGTATGTCTGTATTCTGTATGATAACTGCATGTCTGTATTCTGTATGATAACTGCATGTCTGTATTCTGTACGATAACTGTATGTCTGTATTCTGTATGATA